TGTGTGTGTGTGTGTGTGTGTGTGTGTGTGTGTGTGTGTGTGTGTGTCCCTGTGTGTGTGTGTGTGTGTGTGTGTGTAGCTAGGCTGGGGCTCACTTGGTCACCCTAACTCAAGGAAGTCCATCAGACAGAGGGCCTATGACTGGTTCTATTATGGCTTCATGATCTTAAAAGAAGAATGGGAAGATTAAGACAAGGGGTGGGGAGTGGGGGGAAGGAAGGTTAGGGAAAAGTTTTATCATCAAATCAAAGTATATAAGTATAAGTTTATACCAACAAGGGAGAACTGAATTAGTCAAAGGGAAGAACATACATACACACAGTTGGGTACAAAATACATTTCACTAATAAGGGAAATAAGGAGAAAGGCAATAAGGGATGGACAGTCAAGAATAAAGGGAAGGGTAGATTAAGGGAAGGATTAGTCCTAAGCAATACAAACTCTAAGCATGTACAAAATATTTATAGCCACTCTTTTTATGGTGGCAAAGAATTAGAAATTAAGGCAGTGTCCATCAATCAGGGAATGGCTGAAAATTTATGGCATATAAATATGATGGAATATACTATTACGCTGTAAGAAATGATGAAGAGGAAATGATGAAGAGAGTAGTTTCAGAGAAACTTAGGAAGACTTTTATGAACTGATGCAGAGTGAGGTGAGCAGAATCAAGAGGACAAGTTTATATGGTGACAATATTGCAAACACAAACAACTTTGAAAGGCTTAAGAACTTTGACCAATGTAATGACCAACCAGAATTTCAGAGGATTAACAATGACACCCGCTACCCACTTCCTGATAGAAAGTTGAAGAACTCAAAATGCAGAATGAGACATATATTTTTTTGGATATGACCAATAAGGAAATTTGTTTGGCTTGAGTTGTTTTTTTTTTTCCTATCTTAATCTGGCGCTGGGAGGGGGAAGGATGGGAAGAGGAAGCAGATTTTTGAGAATAAAAAATAAAATCTAATTTTTAAGCAACAAAGGATGAATATAAGAGCGTGGAATGGTACTCTAAAAACAATGTTAGCAGCGTTAACGCTCAGAATAAACTGAAGTTGTCAAGGGAAGCTAAGGACAACCAAAAAAAAGCTGTTGCTTTTTTTTTTTAAAGCAAAACAGAGGGAAAAAAAGGATCAAAGAAGGGATGAGAGCTTGAAAGTAGTGATAAATGAATGGATAATAGCTGCTTGATTCTTCTTTTGCTTCTGTTTTCTCTGCCAAGGACAATGACTTTTGCATGGGAAATGTCAGAACAAAAATGACTAATAGGGAGTTGATACCCAAGATAAGTAGAGGAGAGTAAGAGAGCACCTAGCTGACATTATTGAGTTGAGGTCACCTAGCCTAGATGAACTGCATCCTCAGGGCCTGAAAGAATTGGCAGATATAACAACTGAGCCACTTTTAGTGATATCTGAAAGATCATGGAAAACAGGAGAAGTACCACAAGAATGGAAAAAGGCAAATCTGTTCTTGATTTTCAAAAAAGGAAAGAGAAAAGTCTATAAACTACATAAGTCAGAGACCCCAACTTCAATTTTTGGGAAAATTTTAGAATGGACATATTAGAGATGGTTGGTGAACATATGGGAAGGTAATAGGTGACCACAAACAAATCAACAAAGGTTCATTAGAAGCAGTAATACCAGTCTAACCTCATTTCCTGATGGGAGAAATGCAGTGGAATATCGCTTGCTTAGATTTTAGCAAAGCTTTTGATCAAGGAGCTTAAGTTATTCTTATGAAGATGGACAGCATATGGATTATACAATGCAAACAGGTAAGATTCAGAACTAGTTGGCTAGCTGTTCTCAAAGAGCAATTTTTAATGGTTTAGTATCAATGCAGGGCTCCGGTGGACTACCCCAGGAATCTGTGTTTAATCTTGTCCTATTTAACCTTCTTACTAATTACCTGAATAAAGGCACAAAACATATGCCCATCAAATCTGCAAATGACATAAAGCTGGGAGGGATAGCTAGCACATTAGATGTATGACAGCATCAGGATCCAAAAGGATCTTCACGGGCTAAAGGCTTAAGTTAAACCTAATAAGGTAAAAAAAAATCAATAATGATAAATTTCAAGCCTTACCCTTGTGTTAAAAAAAAAAAAAGAATCAACTCCACAAGCATAAGAGGCATGGTTAGATAATGTTCTGAAAAAGACAGGGGCTGGGATGGGGAGGGGAGGCAGGTTAGTGAACTGCAAGCTCAACATAAATCATTAGTATGATATGGAAGCCCCAAAAGCTAATGCGACCTTGGCCTTCATTAGGAGATGCGACAGACTTGTTCTATTTGGCCCCAATGGGAAGAACCAAGAAGCAACTTTATACTTGATAACAGGAAAAACTTCTTAGCAAGTAGAACTGTCTTCAGAGGTGGTATGTCTTCGAGAATGAACAACCACTTGTTGGACATGCTCTATTTCCTTTTATATGTGTGATAGAGTAAATGATGGTTGAAGTCCCTTCTAATTCTCACATTTTATAACTGTATGATAACTGAATTCACATATTAACTCTCTCCTCCCAAACCCGGGCAAAATTTACCTGTGAAGACAGATCAGAGCATAATATAATTACTTTAACTAATTCTACTCGGGTCACCACATCAAAACGTCAGCAAGTTTACTACAAGGGATATTCCCAAAAGGACTGCTGAAACCCAGGGTTCATAACCCATGGTCCCTTAAGGGAGGAAAAAAAAATTCATCTTTATTTTTACTAACCTTTAAATGAAATTTGACATTTCATTCAGTTAAGAATGTAGGCAACAAAACATTATTCTGAAAGGGTCCATTAGCTTCCCCAAACAGCTAAAGGGACCGAAGACACAAAAAAGGTTAAGAACCCCTGGTCTAAATAGTGTGCAGCTAAGGAGAATAAGATTCTATTACATACTTCTTATAAATTAAAACTTTTTTAACCTTACCTACAATGTTTGGATGCTGAAGGTTTTTCAAAATCTTAGCTTCATCAGTTAGTCTCTTTTGATATATACTTTGAAAATGATCATTACATTTAGAATTAATCTTTTTCACTGCCCAAGGAGAATGAGATAAACCTTTGGGAGACCTAAAACAGCAAATATTATATGAAACATTTGGTGAAACTTGAGCGCAGGCTATGATAAAGTACTAAAAATAAATGACCCACCAAAATGTTCAACTTTAAAATGAAGAATTAAAGTGATTTCAATGTTTAAACAACACTTTTTGTAGATGTCCATCAGTTGTGAAATGGTTTAACAAGTTGTAGCACATGAATGTAACAGAAAATTACTATGTTAAGAAAAATGAAGAATAAGATAAATAGGAAGATTTATATGAAGAGATGAAAAATGAAACAAACAAAAACAGAACAATATATTATGGCTACAATATAAATGAAAAGAACAAAATAATCAAAACTGAATGCTATGAAATTATAACAACCAAGTGTAGTCTTAAAGAAGAGAGATGAGGATCTATTCTTTGCATGATGGGAGCTATGAGTATGTAATACTTAGTTATTACAGATTTTTTTTTGATATGTTGGTTAGTTTTGCTAAACTGGTTTTTTGCTTTTTGATAAGGGATGGCCCTATGGGAGGGAGATAAGAGATACATTGAGAAATGTCAATGATATAAAAACAAAAGGTATCAATTTAAAGAAAAATACTTCTCACTATCAGGATTTCAAATATTTCTTTTTCTGCTATGAGATGTATTTTCACAATCTAAATTGCATATCAAAAATTAAGATAAGAATCCTTGTATCCTCAGTCCCAAGAATAGAGTTGTGTGACAGGACTGGAAAACAGAAAAAGAAAACACTGGTAGTAGAGTTTCTTAATTTTCTACCTCCCAAGTTAGTAGGTCAACAACTCTACTCACAACAGCTTAGTACCCCTACTACTTATAGACCCAACAAATGATTGAGAATGGCTCAGTAATTTATTTCTCTAATAAACTCCCTGCTTCCCCCCCCTTCCCCCCCAAAAAAGCAGACTGGACCCAGAGTTCTATGCAAAATGTTTATTTGTATTCCTTACCTTTTCATAAGGTAAACATTTACCCCAGTGCCATAGCCAAGCTTTTGCATAAATGGAGAAGCTGGAATAGTTACAGATGATGGAGTCAAGCATGATGCTAAAAATAAAATAAAGACAAATTAATATTTGAAGAAGACTTTTACAAATGTATCATGTTGACCTATTATTGACAACAGTATTTTGTGTAAACTTCAAACAACGAACACTGAAAATTATTAGCAAGAACACAATTCAGAGATATGGTAATGCAGGCTGGTCTCAGTCCTAAAGAAACTTGGCTCCTAGGGCCAAGACTGTGATAGTTGAGAGAACTCTTGCCTTAAGGAGGGAATTCTGTCTTCCCTGGTCTAAAGACGGCTTGCCTTTCCCTTGAAAAGAGCTGACACAGCCTCTGGGTTCCAGAAAAAATATGGTAGAGCTTCCATTTAAGGATATGCCCAATGAGAATATCTTGCCACTGGACCCAGATGGCTCCAGAAGAGCAAGTGAGGCTGGTGACTTTGCACACCCGTCTCTCACTGAAATCCAATTCACTTGCATGTCATGGCATCACCTTCCTGAAGTCATGGTCCTCTTCAAAAACGAAGGACAAACAGAAGCACCAGCAGCAACCTACCACCCACATCCTAGGGAAAACTTGCCTAAAGGCCAAGCTTTCATCTGGCACTTACCTCTACTCAGGACTCAATTCCATTGTGAATGAAATTCAATTGTACCCTTGTAGAGGCTACCTTCTTAACCTTACCCCCTACCCACTTAACTTAAATTCAAGCTGATTCAATCAAAGCAGTTGCAGACTACAACCAGATCTGCCGGCTAATTCTGTCACCTGAGAATTACACCTAACTCCAGGGGAGAAAGTAACAGGGACCAGCTGAGACAATTCTTAACCTACCTCTTCATTAAAATGTCCACCAAATAGGGTTGTTACAACGTAACGTCAGGCCAATCGGAAGAAGCCACACATATTATTGGAGATTTTGTGGTCAACTTACTAATTGTTATAAAAGACTCCGTCAGTCCTCACTCAGGATACTGCCAGGCCCTTGTCTACATAGTTGTCTCCCACACTAGGCCATCAGCTCTTCTATCCTCTCCCACAGGCATTAACTAATTCCCTCCTCCCCCTTTTCCTACTCCTTCCTAAGATTTAGCTGCTTACACCGCTGGCTCCTGAACTTTGTTCACATCTACCACTGGTCTCTGGTAGTGGTATCAACATGCCACTAATAAGCATCCTGTAATGACTCGTGCAGTTGTCCCTTCCTGTCAGAATCCAATTGAGCCTCTTAGATGGGTAAAGGCTGAGCCTGGACCACTAATACTTCCCTTTAGTTCATGAGCTCTGACCAAAGGTCAGAGACCACGTTTCCTAGCAGCCACTCCTCCATGGACAGGATGGAATAGGCACTCTTGCTGCCATCTTCCCTCTTCTCTGGAGAAAGCAAAAGCAAGGGCAGTGAACCATATCCTTCAGTGGTGGGGAAATTCTCTTTTCTCCTCCCTGTCTATAAATTGCTGACAACGGCTGAGAGTAGGACCCTCAGCATCTTCACATGCAGGATTCCCTGCCTTCACTGAGGACAGAAAGGGTTAGGATTTCAAAATATGTGTTCCAGTGACAGGGAATTTCTTTCTTTCACTGACAAGGGCTGGGACCAAGACCTTTGGCAGCTGTACCTTCACTGGCAGGACACTCTGACCTCTGACTGCACCAAAGAAACCAAAGGCTGAGGGCCTAGCCATTGGGTTAGGATTAGGACTCCTAGGTCCAACAGTGGAAGGAAATTCTTTCCCTATTGTGGTCGAGGCAAGACTTGGATCTTCTAACAGTACAACTTCTTTCACAACTGTAAAAGTATTTGGTCACTTCCTCTTGTCTCTGGCCCTTGAACAGAGAAGGTCTTCTCATTCTGGCAACCCTTCCAGATGCTTGGCAGATATTTCCCCAGAAACCCCCTTCTATGCCTGGAATGACTCCCCCTTTCTTCACTCCTCCCTCTCTTGTGAAGTGTTTTTTATGTATCCTAAGTTGCCGAAGAATGCTGTTGATTGGCTGTGTACTAACTCTAAGCAGGTCTAAAAAGTTATAAAAACTAAACCTGTACCCTAGAAAGTCAAAGCTTCTATCAGCAGCTTCCTAAGCTAATACTAATGCTAATATATTTTTATGCTTTCAGTTTGGCCTCCTATCTTTGACCCAGTCATTAAGGGGTATGCCTCTCCCAAGGGGTCCCATTCCACTCAGATCAAGAGAATTCTCCAACAATATTGTGTTTAAGGAAGGAAACTGATAGGCCACAGTAATGCAACCAGGATGGTGAAGGGCTTTGGCCTTGAGATCATGTAATATTGGTTGAAGTGGTGAGATTTAGGTTGGAGCAAGGAAGATTGTGGGGGTGGGAAGACCAAGTTTTCCTTAAAGATTTGAAGGGCTGTCACAGGGAAGAGAACAGACTTATTCTGACCTCCAGGGCCAGGCAGAACTAGGAACAATGGGTGGGAGTTTCAAAGAACTAAATTTAGGCTGAGATGTAAAGAAGAATTTTCTAATAATTAGGACTATGCGAAAATGGATTGAGCTCTCTCAGGAGCTTGAAGATACATGATCCTTTTTGCTAGAAGTCTCCCTCCCAACATTCCTATAGAATGTAAGCTCCTTGAGGTTAAAAACTATAGGATTTTTTCTTTGAATTCCCAGCATCTGGCACAGTGTAAGCACTTAATACTTGACTGATTAAAAAAGAAGTCACCTGCCCTTGTGAGTGTTCTTAGGATTTTTTGTCTCTCTTATACATTTTTCACATTCTGTTTTGTACCACAGCTCAGTTATGTTCAGTACAGTTGTTATTTTCCTGAACTGCAAGGTGTTTGAGGTAGGGACGATGTGTAATTTATGTTACTTCTCCCAGGATCTGCTATACAGAATGTTAACATATGTTAATACACATTAACGGGGACTTATTAATTCATTCATCAGTTACTAGTGGAATGGGGTTTAGAGCTGCCCCGTGCACTCCTCCTCCCCCATAGCTGGGAGTACCCCCTCCCTACTGTCAATTTTGTATTTATTCATACATATGCATGTTGTCTCCTGGAGTGGGCAGGGAATGTCATTTTGGCCTCTGTTTTCCAAACACTTAGCAAAGTGCCTGACACATAGGCCCTTACTTGCTGATTAAACTTACAAGATTTCTTCTTGTCAGATAATTTGCTAGGTGTCTTGAATGCATTTGGTCCTTCCATTATTTAAAAAGAAAAAAAAAACAATAGCAGCAAACCCTAGGTTCTGTAATAGAAAAAAAAAGATAGTTACATTAATTCACATGGAAAATGCTTCTCATTAATACAGAATTATATAATTTTAGCGCTGGAAGGGACTTAAAGATCATCTAGTCTAGTCACACTGCTTTATAGTTAAGGTAACTGAGGCCCAGAGAGGTAAATAACTGGCCTAAGATCACACAGCTAGTTAGTGGCAGTTTTGGAAACAGAACCCAGGTATACTGACCTGCAGCCTGGTACTTATTCCACTATACTGTACTTAAAAGACAAAAATATACAAGTACAGCAAGGTCTGGTAGCTCCTCTTTCACACCACAAAGTACTTTCATTAGCTACCCTAAAGGAATAGTAGAGTACTCGTACCCAAACCCAGGTCCAGTCACTGACCAGAGCCCTCTGATGCTGGGGGGACCACTGCCTTCCCTGAAAAACCTTTTCCCTCTCCATCTGCCTTTCAAGTTAAGGAACAGACCTGGATCAGTCCCAACTCTCTCCGCAATGCCTTCTAGAATCTTAGAGTTTCTCTTTCCATCTGCAATCTATTACCCTCTCCACATACCTCACTTCCCACCTCCCATGGTTTCTCCTGTTTCTCTTCTCTAACCTTGTAATAATTAATCAACCATCATTTGGGAGAAAGTGTCTCCTGCTCACTCCTTATGTTCTGTCATCCACTTCTCCCTCAACCTGACCCCAAATTCAACATTGCCCACTCTTTCCCTTTCCACAATGAACAAAGTCCCCTTTTATCCGGGAGTTCTTTATTTCACACTCTTATTATCTATTAGCTCTCACAGGGACCTGGCTCCCCTCTGATGACACAGCATCCCCTGGCTATACTTTTTTCTCACCTCTATTCCCTACCCCCTAACCTCAAAGGATTCCACTCAATAAAAATTATGGCAGTTGTAGTATACTGATTCCCCATGTCATTTCTCCTCCTTTCTCAAGGAGTTCAGCACCTTTTCCCCTTGTGTATTTAAAAAAAAAATACACTTTGTCAATTCATTGCAGTTTGGTCCTTTGAGGTATTCTTTTCACTTAGTGAACCAATTCAACTTTACAATGTCCTCTTTTTTTGCCATCTTCTTCTACTGCAGATTGTGCTCAGCCATGCCTCAGCTTTCTATTACTCCACCATTCTTCTTCTTTGCTCCAACACTGCAATCAAGGGTGTGCACCCTCATCACTTCATGCCAGAGCTACTGAAGTAGGTTTCTGCTTGGTCTCTCTTATTTACATTTCTCCCCACTCCAGTCCATCCCCCACTCAGCTGTCAAACTGATCTTCCCAAGCTCAGGTCTATGTCCTTTTCATTTAAAATACTGTAATGGCTCCCTACCACCTCCAGAATAAAATATAAACCCCTCCTTTTAAAATCCTTCATAAACTAATCTCTTCATACCTTTCTAGTTTTCTTACATCTTAATCTCATCCATGTTCTTTACGAACCAGTGACACTGTCCTCATTACTATTCCTTCAACACAACTCTCCTTGCATTTTCATTGACTATTCCCCATGCCTGGGACTCTTTTTTTCCTAATCTTTGCCCTGGCTTCCTCTGAGTCTCAGCTCAAATCCTACCTTCTGCAAGAAATCTTTCACAGTGCTTAATCTTAGTGCCTTCCCTCTGGGATTATCTCCAATTTATACAGTACATAACATTTGTACATAGTTATTTCCATGTTATCTTCCCCACTAACTCATGAAGTCCTCAAGAGCAGGTACTGTTTTCTGGCCTTTCTTTGTATCTTCCATGACTGAGCACAGTGACACAGGGGTAGGGAACCTGCAGCCTTGAGGCCACACATGGCCTTCAAGGTCCTTGAATGTGGCCTTTTGACTGAGTCCAAGTTTACAGAATAAATCCTTTTATTAAGGGGATTTGTTCTGTGAAGTTTGGATTCAAAGGGCCACACGTGGTTTTGAGGCCAAAGGTTTCCCACCCCTTGAGCACACAGTAAGTATTTAATAAACGTTTGCTGACTTGCCTGCTCCTTAAGTCTCCTTTTCGGTATCTTCATCCAGGTCATGCCCACTAACCATGGGTTTCCTCCAATGCCCTCTCCTCTTTTCCCTCTCTACTATATTGCTTGGTGATCTCATTAGCACCCATACACTCAGTGATGATCTCTGTGCATATTGATTCTCACATCTATTTGTCCAGTCCTAACTAACCTCCAGTGTCCCATCACCAGATACCTATTGAACACCTAGAAATTGACGTCTTGTAAACTCTTTAAACTCAACATGTCCAAAACAGTTTTTTTTTCTTTTCTGCCCACAAACCTTCTTCTGAACTTCCCTATTTCTGTGGAAGGTGCCACCACCCTACAGTCATCCAAACTTACAACTTTGGTGTCACCCTTGACTTCCCCCACACATTCACTATACTTAGTGAATTTGCTGCCAAGTCTAACGACTTTTATATACATCCTCTTTTCTCTACTCACACAGCAGCCATGATACTACAGTTCCCCATCACCTTATACTTGGACTACTGCAACAACTTTCTAGTTGGTTTCCCTGCTTCAAGTCTTTCCCCACTACAATTCATCTACCACAGAGCTGCCTAAGTGAGCTTCCTAAAGAAGTCTGACCAATGTTGTCATCATCACCTCCCACCTACACTCAATAAATATAGTATATATTTAATAAATGTTTACTGGCTGACTACATCTAGAATCAAATATAATATCTTTTCTCATTGAAAGTCCTTCATAATTTGGCCCCAAACCACCTTTTCAGTTTTATTATACTTTATTCCCTTTCATACACATTATAGTAAAGCTGAATTAGTCTTCTTCCTGATCTTCACAAACTATTGCTTTATCTCCCATCCCTGTGTCTTTGCATTGGTCATTCCCTATGCCTGGAGCTAGTTTCCTTCAAGGTTCAGCTGAAGTGCTACTTTCTTCACCAAGCTTTGCCCTTATCACCCTCAGCTGCAAATACCTTACACCCAAATTATCTTGGTTTTGTATATACACATATATGTACATCTTCTCTCCCTGGCTAGAATATAAATTCTTTAAATGAAGGGATCTTTTTACTTTTGACTTTCATGTCCAATTCCTAGCATTGCCCAGCACATAGTACGCCCTTGGCAAATATTTGTTGATCAATTCAGCATCCCAGTGACTCCTCAGATCAAAAGTGCCTTCCCTAGACACCAGTATGCATTGTCTCCCCCAGCTCCTAGAGAGCCGGCGCTACCTCAGTGCACTTTACCACCATGAATGGGCCCTCTATGGGCCTCTTCTTCTACTGAGCTTCTCCTGAAAATTCCATTTTGACGAAAGACCCAGACCAGTCACTATTCTAGGGACTTTGCCACCATGTCCCTGTTCTGCCACCTCCTCTCCTCAACCCCAACTTGTTAGTTCCCTCCTTAAATGTTGTCTTCCCCTCATTAGAATGTTAGCATTTTGAGGGCAGAGACTGTCTTTTTTTTTTTTTTGCTTGTTATTTGTACCCTTAAGGCTTAATACAATGCTTGGCACATACTAAGTGCTTAATAAATGCACCAGAATTTAAGAATACCTTGAAGAACCAAGCTGCAGGCAACTGACAAAGTACATTTTTTTTAATACACAAGGGGAAAGAAAAAGTAGAGATAGAATGAAACATTTTATTTTGGATTAAAATTGTAATAAATTTTTTGCATCATTTGTCATGCCTGGTTCTCAGTGTTTTAATAAATTCTCATTGACTAACTTTGTACTCAACAGAACTTAACACAGCACCTGGCACACAATAAATGTTCATTCCACAGTCGGATTCTAAAGAAGATTTATAAGGACACAAACGATATGAAAGGAACAGTCTAGGAGTCTGGAACTTCTTTAAGGCTACAAAGCCCTATTGATCTGTATCAGTGAATGGAGCACGATTACATTGGTGAAACCACATTTCCCAACCTCCTGGAGTGCTAGAGACTCATCTGTTTCCTACAAATGGAATATAACGTTTTCTCTCCTCTATATCTGTTTCTGTGTTTCTCTACATTTCTGATATTTTCTCTCTCTATATTTCTTTTTCTGTTTTCATCTCTATAGTTGTTTCTTTCTCTTTCTATACTTCTATTTGTCTCTATTTCTATTTCTCTCTGTCTCTCTATTTGTTTCTCTCTTTGTGCCTCTATGTTTCTCTGTGTTTCTGTTTCTTTTTCTTTCTCTTTTTCGGTCTCTATTTCTGTTCCTTTGTGTCTCTCTATATTTCTCTCTCTCTCTCTCCAACCTAAAACCATACAGGAAAGAAGGAAAGAAAAAAGCAGGAGGAAAAACGCCCCGAGACGAGAGGAAAGGGCAGGCAGGCTCCCGGCTGGTCCGGCCCTCAGGGAACAAGTCTCCTCCCTCTCCACCACTGCGCTTCTCGATCTTTTGGCCTCGGGACCCCCTTACACCGAAGACCCCAAGAACTTGTGGGCGGATCACATCTGTGAATGTTTACCCTTGTCAGAAATGAAAACTTCTGATTTTTAAAAGCATATATGCATTTAAAGTCACGATAATCAACTCATTACGTGTTCACTAGTTGCACCTTAGTCTCAGGTGACCTTAGAGTCTCCGGGGCTCCTGAGACGCCGGTATCTTCACTACAGAGAGGCCGGACCGGGAGCCAGAGGCCCCGGGTTCGAATACCAGCTCCGCCGTACTAGCGGGGTGACCGCCGGCCTTCAGTTTCCACAGCACGAAGGGAAGGAGGCTGGGACCACATGACCCCCTGACCTCCCCGAGGGTGGGAGGGGTCCGGCGGAGACGAGCAACCCCCGCCGACCCTCCTCCCCTGGCTCCCAGCCTTACCTGAGCAGGCACCGAGCAGCCGGAGCACCGGGACCCGCCTCCACGGCCGCCGCAGACCGAACTGAGACCGTTGAGGTTCGAACGCGCGCGGCCTTCAAACCCGCGCGCTCCCCTCTACGGGGCGGACAGAGGGACACACTGGATGAGAACGCGTTCCCTCGATTCCTCATTCCCTGGCTCCCTCCGCTTCTCCC